AAAAAAATATTTAGCTTTATCATCGGTTTTATCGATGGAACACAAAAATAATAAAATAATAATAATTTTAATATTTCAGTTGATGATGACCAATGACGTCAGTGAATGAGGAAAACGATGATAAGAAGTGATGGTCGCTTGGTAACTTCATTGATATTAACGTAAATACAAAGCGATTCTTACCTCTAATCGTCACGCTCCTTATCCACAACAACTATACACCCATGTTATAATCCGTCATTACTAGTTGAAATATTTAAATTATCTTTTTACATATCATTTCATAGTCGATAAAACCAATGATATTAAGATAAATAGAGATAGATATTTTTTATAATTATAAAATTTTAAATGTTAATTGTTTAAATATAAAAATCAAGATGCAAGGTAATATGTAATTGGGCGCTCATGACATGGGTCAATTTTCTTGTTTTGATAATATATTTTTTCGATTGTTCTCTTTGTTTTCTTATAAATTAGTCATATAATTTAAATTTAAATTAAATATATGTTGGGACCATTTTGCATATGGCACAACTTGATCATTTGGTCTTACCAATGATTAATCCAATGCCTCAACATAAAACAAGAATAGTAGTTGCCGAGGGAAAACATTAATTTGACACAAAAAGTAAAAACACTTTCATGACCACATGCATGCATACTCAAAATACAAATTCAATGCTGGTTTATATTAGCACCAGCTTAGGAAAATAAAACACTTCTTTCTACATGAGATGAAGCATCTGACAGAAGAAACGTCTTGACGGCACACTTTGGGTCGGACTCAGCTGTTCCTTCAAAGGAAGGTCAGTACATTGGGTGCTTATAAAGCAGCCTTTGGTGGGTCGAAATTGCATGCGGTTTACGGTCACATCAACCGTGTCATAAAATAAACCGAGAATTAACCCATTTGGCCGGTCCGACTCGTTAATTATATTGTTTATTAACAACATGGACTATAATACTCTTGATTTTGTATTTATTTTTTATATTATCAACACGTTTTTTTTCTTTTAGATCTGACCTTTTTTTTATTTATCAGACAACTCATGCGATTTATTTTTTTATGTTTTGATTAATATTTTATTATTTTTTTGAAACATCCGAATTAATCAGTGTTTTATTGTGTTCGAGTCATATATGTTATTTGATAATTATTTTTATCATAATTTTTATACTTAAAAAATAAACTTATATTTATTTTAAATAATATATAAATACATTTATTTTATTTTTTAATGCCCATTTAGCGATAATTACGTAAATGAAGACCGCAACCCCCTCCCACGTCGTTCGTCTCCCACGGAACCCAAAAGTCTTAGTTTTGTACACTCTATTATCTCTACCCACCGGCTTATCTGGTTATTTACTGAGAAAGATATGGGCCCCACAGTGATTGCATCTAATTTAACGAAGTAATTGAGCGGGTAAGACTGAGGGGAGAAGAGAAGTTTTCTTTGTCACCTGAGTCAAACGGCGCGTTTCCGACTACGTGACACGTGTCAAGAAACCTCCATCGTAACGATCTCTCCCGCGCATCAGAATTTTTATTTCCTAATATGCCCCTACCGCGTAAGGGTAAATTGGTCATATCGCAGCCGGTGTTCTGTTGCGCCTACCCAACAATCATTACGTACTCTGTTTATACGCCATCGGTATCGCCCCTTACTCATTTATACGTCGTTGCGATAAGAAGCGCTTCTTCTTCAAGTATCCTAAAACCCCACGGAGTCGATGGGGGAATCCCGATGCCGATGACATGGGGAACGGCGACCACCACCGCAACCAGATTGCCGCGGCAGCCGCCCACGCCTCGAAGTGGACGGAGCGGCGGCCGGTGCTGGCCCTTCTCTCCGCTCTCCTCGTCCTCGCTGGCCTACTCGCCTTGTCCTGCTCCCGCGGCGCCCCGCCGTTCTCCCTCTCCCCTCTCAGATCCCTCCCCCTCTTCCGCCCCGGCGAGCCCCTCCGCTCCTCCTCCGACGGAGACACCGCGCCGATGACCGAGGAGGGGAGGCGGAAGCGGGAGCTCGACCGGAGCAGGATCGCGATATGCCTCGTGGGCGGGGCGCGGCGGTTCGAGCTGACGGGGCCGTCCATCATCAGGTACCTGCTCGACGACTTCCCCAACGCGGACCTCTTCCTCCACACCCCACTCGACAAGGACTCGTACAAGCTTTCGCTACTCAATGGAGCGCCGAGGATCGCCGCCGTGCGCATCTTCACGCAGAGGCCGATCCCGACGACCGAGTCGCAAGAGAGGGTGCTTACAGCCAACGGCTCGCCCAACGGAATCCAGGTGAGGTCGATCTCCTTCTACCATCGTTCATAGTGCTCGTCCTTACGACGAAAAGGAACGCATATTTGGTCCGCATCTCTCGGATCTCGATATCTTCTGGTATCGGAAGATGCTATAGTTTGTTATTCTTTCCACGGTTTAACACGATCATTATTACTTGTTTCTTGGTGAGCATTTTATGATGCGATGGAAAGTACCGATGAGTGCAACTTTAGATAAGCACCAAAAACTATGTGCAATACAACCAGTTTTACTTACTATGGTCGAGAAAACTTTAGATAAGCACCAAAAAGTACTGATGAAGAGCTTATCCTATCTTTTACGTCATGTTGCACTAGTATTATTCTAGTACTGATTCGTCGTTCTTGTTGCAGGGTCTGTTGCAGTACTTCAACCTGGTGGAAGGTTGCCTGAGGATGATCAAGTCGCACGAATCTAACGGCAACTTCACCTACGATTGGATCGTCCGCACACGCGTCGACGGTTACTGGTCGGGCCCGGTCGACGTGAAGGCCTTCCGCAAAGGCGCCTACGTCGTCCCCTCCGGCTCCCGGTTCGGTGGCCTCAACGACCGGTTCGGCATCGGCGACCGTGCCACCTCCGAGTTCGCCCTTTCCCGCCTTTCCCTTATCCCTCGCCTCGACGCCGCCGGGTGCCGGCAGCTCAACTCGGAGTCGGCCTTCAAAGCGCAGCTGGCGATCTCGAAGGTGCGGTGTGAGGAGATTAGGGTTCCCTTTTGCGTGATGAGCGACCGGAGGTACGAGTTCCCGCCGAGCCGGTACGGCGTGCCGGTGGCAGCGATGCGGAGCAAGGGGCCGCTGAGCGGGGCCAAGTGCCGGCCGTGCGAGCCGGTGTGCACCGGGCGGTGCGCGGCCGAGGTGGGGGCGGTGCTGGACCGCGGGTGGAGCTGGACCGAGTGGCGCAACGACAGCATGCAGATGTGCGACGCCAGCGACGGGTGGACTCCGGGGTGGGCGAACATGTTCGACCAATTTGCAGGGCCCGAGCTGGCGGCAGCGCGGAATAGGGTGGTGGCGCTGGATATGTCGACATGCGTAGACGACTTGGAGACCATGAGGAAGAAGGCGGGGAAATGGGATGCGTCGGCGGCGGACGAGATCTGCAATCTGGGCGCATTATTAACCCGTACAAACTCGACAGTTTTGTAGACTTGGTTTTTGGCAGGAAGCAGCAGGTAAATGGCACATTTCTTTGCAAGTAGAATTCACATTATTGTATAGAAACAGAAGTTCAATTTGGTACTGTACTCTTATCGGGTAGACTCGTAGTAGATAAAGTGTTCGACTAATGATAAGGATTGGGTTGGTGGTCACTGTCGAAGGTTGCGGAGTTTGGAAGACAATTACCATCTGTGGGGATTATGGTTGGAGAAAAGAGTAGCTTCATATATCAAAGCCAGCAAAAAGAGAAATATTAGGTGGGCTAAATGCCCTTTTTTCCCTTTTGGACAAGTGTGATGGATAACACCTCGTTCTAACTTAAAATTACGTATGTAGTCCCCCACATCGGCCCGATTTCTCGATCCAATTATACATATATACATATATCAATTTCACCTATAAGTTATAACAGTACTCGGATCTCTTGAGAGCGTACACAGAACACCTTAACTGCATCAAATTCCATTGGGTTGTTATTGGCATGGAAGACATTCCAATGGGTGTGGTGGCAATGAAGCCGAGGTTTCAATTATTTAGGGAGGAAATTATCACGTCATATCCGCTTAATTAATACTGCAAAATAAATAGATTATGAGTTACTTTAATCTTTAATGTAAGTTATCATCACGTGAATAATGTAAACTTAGCAGTTCCAGAAATTGTTAGTGGCCAAAGTGCTGATGCTACGCTGGACTCATTAATATTCGTGCCTTGCTGCAAGATTACGTGATTCGTGGTCGTAAGATGATGACGGCAAGCTCACAGATGACGACATGGTTATTGCATGGGCGGTTGCGGATGTTAGGTTTCCACGGTCACGATCTCGACCGTGGAAAGAAAAGGAAATTTCCCATGATTACGATCTCGACCTCGTGATCTCAAGCGTCACAATCTCGACCTCGTGATTCACACAATTTCCCATGATTACCGTATAGTTCATTTGAACCCTTTATCAAAAGCAAATAAATAGCCCTAAAGCACTTATAAATACAACTAATTTGAACGACGACCTGTTAGTCGTATAACACACGACGGATAGAAGAGATCGTTGAATGGTTCTTCTACAGAAGAGAATGTTGTGAAATGTAATCTCGTGACCAGTGTAATCAATTGACATTTCTTCTTATAATTATTATGACATCAAATTCAAGGTTTTGATTTTAAACGATAAGATAAGATATTGACTAATAATCATTTATTATTATTCGAAGCATTAACAACTCAGCCAAATTTCATAAGCTTCTTCAATTGAATGATAATTTTGGAAATTGAGATCGCATTTGTCTTAACGGATCTACAAAAAGGGTGCTCGGTTATATATATATATATATATATATATATATATATATATATATATATATATATATATATATATATATAGTTAGTTAGTTAGTTAGTTAGTTAGTTAGTTCTGGAAGCAGGGTCACGACTTGCACTAAGCCATTTAGGTACTGCAAGATATTTGATGACGTTTGATGGATGCATCTGACAACGGTCAACGATGATTGTGGGCCATGTGCTTGGTTCAGCTTAGCTTTTATTGAAGACTTCCTCCGCAACTTCTACAGTCAACTCACGGAGTCGCTATCTCAGTAATAGCGTTTATTGCGTTATTACATGGATTCGTCACAGTAGTCTCGGACTAAGTAAAGGGTTTCTGGTTGTAGCAGTCCAAGTTGTCTCCGTAGCTCACCCCCAGCAAGTCGCAGTACTTCTTGTAGAAGCCGATCCTATCCGCCACCCTGGAATCGGACCCTTTCCCGCACTCCAACCCTCCATTGATGATGTTGGTGATGACACCGTAGCCCGGAAGCCTTCCGGCCGCCTGGTCGGCGTTGGTTGGCTTCCAACTCCCGGTTATCACGTTGTGGCACGACGGCTTGGGCGACTGAGTAGTCATCCAGAACCACAGAGCCGTCTTGAACGAGATGGTCGCGTCGGTGGCCACCAGGTCTGGGTTCTTGAGTAGGTCGGAGCCGATGGCTCTCCCGGCCGGCCCGTAGTTGTAGTTGCTGCACGCAGAACACATCGGATTGTTGCGTTAGAAAGGCCATCGTTGCGAACTCGATCGCAGCGATGAACTGTAAGAGTATGGCTTACTATGAGATTTGGATGGGGCCTCGGCCGTAGTACTTCTTGCCTGCAGCGCACGGCCACTGCGAGCTGGTGACGCAGTAGTCCTTTGGGGGGTTCCGTTCACTGACGAAGCAGTAACCCCACGCGTACGGGCCATCGGGCGCCGTCGGCCACCCACCTGCCAAACCCCATGCATTCAGCTCTCTATCCATAAACTGTCGACGAGCCTTGGGAGCTGTACGAAGTACCTGTCGTCTCGTGAGACGTCTGCGCCAAGAAAGCCGCGATCTCCCTCTTCTTCGTGGCGTCGTCGCCGGTCGTCCCGAACCCACTGAAGGAGTTGGCGGCGGCGATGAAGGCGGTGTACGTGTAGAAGCCCTTGCCGGGGCAGGCTGCGTCGTTGCGATGCTTCAACATCTGGTCGAAGACGGAGGAGCTGATGATCGAGCCAACGCTGCCATCGCCGAGCGACGATAACAGGGTGAAGATGACCAACAACAACAGGGCCTTCATCCTCCTTAGCAGTGGTGGTGGTGGTGTGGGTGGGAGGTGGTGCTTATATAGAGAAATGGACTATGTTGAGAGGTCTTTTGCCGTTCGTTGGCTGTCTTCGTCCAAGGAAATGCTTCCTGCCCAAATGAGATGCACGTGGGAAATCGCAGTCGCAAGTCTTTGGATAAGTCTTGTGACCAAAGGCTACACAGAGTGCGTGTTGGGGTACCGCTTCTCATCTGTTGCTATCTGTGTGACACAAATGTTTCTACTGCTCATTAGTCGACAAATAATTCCTCATGGACAAGACCAGTCAAGAGTGATGCTTCCTTCTCTCTCTCTCTCTCTCTCCTCTTTTTCTTCAGCGTATAGTTATGGCAATTCTTATAGTTGTGCGTCTCCTTCGGAAAAGTTTCCTTCAGCCTCTGCCAACTTTCCGCCACCTTTATTTGGGTTTCCTGCCTTGCGTTGTACGTCCAAAGAATAAGTAGTTTATATATATATATATATATATATATATATATATATATAAGGCTTATCATTAAGGATACTATCAAGAGAGGAAGATTATTTCTCGAACTAAGTCGAAAGCATTATTTTCTTCTATATTTGATTTGATGTGATTATAATCTTTCTCATTCTACTTGAATCTATATAAAAAGGGATTAAAATATTATAATGCATCAATCGACAGATAGTTATATATTTTTTCTCTATTTATATTTTTTATTATTAAAAAATATGTTATTACTCATCATACATTACATGATTTGATGATGATATATCATGTCCATTTATTAAGGGTTAAAAAAATAAAAATCAAGTTGATAATTTTTTTATATACAAATACTGATCTTATCGTAACCATAGACCAAACCCACTTATTAGGGTTCATTTGACACATTTTGGAAGTATTAACTAAAGGCTTTTATTGGTGACAACAAAAATCCTAAGATCAAATCTACCTTTTCCATTTATTATTTTTTTAATATTTTATTAAAATTAAAATATATATTATATAATTTTATTATTTAAATAATAATAATAATATATTTAATTAAATATGAATAAAGTGCTCATTTGAAAATGAGTTTATGCCTCGGATGGGCAAGTCAATATAATAAGATAATTCGAGTAGGTATATTCTTTTAGTGTTATTGTATGTGAAGGAGGAGAAGAAGTTACGTTTTCAGAATCACAGCTTTGATTATGACCATCGTGTTATCGTTTATTCATTTTGAACAAAAACTAGTAATGAGATTTGATAAGTTTGAAATGATAATATATTTGAAGAGATTGTTTTATATAATATTTGTTTTTCGATCGTTAGAAAAAGTGGTAAATTTTAGTTATTTAAGTTATATTATGACTTACTGATGTCACTATAATCAATATGTTTACTAAATCATCTCTAAAGAGAGATCGAAGAGGTCGAAGGTTTAAGTCATATCTCATATGCCAATGTTATGTGATAATTATATAGAAAAAAATAGATTAAAGTGGCAATGGTGGCTAAGGGCTTAAGAGATAAGAATTTGGAAATAATATTTGTGCCTCCCAATTTTAATATTACATAGTACCTCTCTTCTTTAGAATGTTTTAATCTTTATTTCTATTGATAAGTATTCGATAAATTCATATTATTTATTTGATCTTTATTAATCTCGACCCATACCTTCTCGTTTATAGGTGTCCATTGCCGACTAAGTCTCGGCAAACTATCGCCTACAAATGTCCATTGTCAAGCAGGTATTAACTACTCCCTGTCGACTAAGTCTCGGTTTGTCTGTGTCGACTACGCCTTACCGAGCCCACTGCCTCCACGTGGTCGAGCTAACCTCATAGTAGGTCTATTATTCTATTTCAGACATAGTCAAGCCAAACCTCATAGGAGGTGCATTCTCCTGCTTCCACGCGGTTGAGTAAATCTTATAGCAGGTCCATCTATTCGCTTCAAACATGGTCAAGCCAAACCTCACAGCAAGTGCATTCGATTGCTTCCACGCGGTCGAGCAAACCTCATACCAAGTCCATCCTTTCGCTTCAAACATGAGCAAGCTAAACCCCACGACTAGTGCATTCTCCAGCTTCCACATGGTCGAATAGACCTCACAACATGCACATTCTTTGGTTTCAACACGGTCGAGCCGAACTTCCTAGCAGGTCAATTTATTCACTTCAACATGGTCGAACTAAACTCCCTAGCAAATACCTTCTTCGACTTAAGAGCAATCGAACTAAGCCTCCTACGTCAAACGATCCATCACCCCAAATCAAAACAAGCAAACACCCCAATGGAGGGAAAACCAAGTCCCAGCCAACCTTCTTCGACCATTTCTCGGCCATCCCTACCTAGTACACCTCACCCAGGCAACACAGGGCCAACTTACGATGAGGTAATCTACCCGACCGAGAGGACCGAGGACTCGACCCACAGAAGCCCCAAGCCATGCCCCACGATTCTCCAATGGTACAACTCCTTTAGTGGTAGAGAATGATATAACATATTTTGACATCCACCCCACATGACATGTCAGCTACCACAGCAGGCTCGGCGTGGTATTCCTAAGCCGACGTATTGTATCGTGCCAACTTAGTGCCATGAGCCCGAGGCCAGCCAACCACTTGACATCGTCCCTCTACACCCGCTTTGCTCGAGGTTGTACGAGATAACGCAATCATGTATTGGGCCATACAGGAGGTAGGAAGCAGTGTTAAATGAGATTGAATTGAGCAAATCAGACGATGTTTGTACCCAACATATGGGCCGGTTGCTTGCAGCATCAACAGGAATTAAACACTCGCGTACGATGATGACCGGGGATCATTAAAGCTGTTATGCATGATCACATATAGGAATAGGTATAAAAGCAACCTTAGGAACAGTGTTGGGGTCGAATCTCATACACAGACACTCCAACTCTTGCTCGTTCAAATATCGAATGGGTCGAGTCAGGAATCCCCTTCCCAATTTTGACCTGTATGTAGGCGCACCCAACGGACAACTAAAAGAGTGTTAGGACTCTAACTAGGAGAGACCTAATTGAGAGGGACACTCATGTAAAACCTACCTAAACCGACCTCAATTAAGAGGTGAAGAGGTCGACTAGGGTTAGAATGTTGTTTCTTAGAAAAGAATTAGGAGTTGTAAAGGAATAGAAGTCTTAAGTAGGAGTCCTATTATGAGTTAGTTAAAAGTACGAGTCTTAAGTAGGAGTCCTATTATGAGTTACGGTTTAGAAGCCCTATAAATAACCATGTATTCCTCATCTTTTCATAAGCAATAGATGAATCTTTTATGCAGCCTTAGAGCAGCAACTTGGAGGGATGAACCCCTATAGAGTTCCAAGGAGGTCGATCCCCTAAAGACATCAACCCCAAGTTTAGAATATATAAGGGTTCTAACAAAGAGTGATCTTCAACCTCCACATAGAAAAATAAGACCTATGCCCTCTCAACTAGACCTCGGGTTAATATGCTCCAGCGTAGAAGTCATATCAATGATCTTATGCACTTGGGATGGGCCAAACAATGTAGATACTACGTTGGACTCATTAATATTCGTGCCTTACTAGAAGACTATGTGATTTGTGGCCGTAAGATGATGATGACAAGCTCACAGATGACGACATGGTTATTGCATGACCGATTGCGAATGTTAGGTTTCCACTGTCACCATCTCGATCGTGGAAACAAAAGAAAATTTCCCATGATTAACATAATTTCCTTTATAGTCTCAACCTCGATCTCGTGATCTAAGCGCCACGATATCATGATTACTGCTGTATTTTAATTTTTAGATTTAAAATTTTTATATTAAAATTTTTATAATTAAATCTTATTAGTATCCCAATCCATATAGAAAATCCTTATAATTAGGTTTTTTTAGGATCCTTAAGATTAAAAGCATATTAATTTTTATAATTAAATCTTCTTAGTATCCCAATCCATATATAAAATCCTTATAATTAGATTTTTTAGGATATTTAAGATTAAAAAATATATTAAAATATTTATAAATATAAAAATAAATAAATAAAATACTTTTATTTATTCTAATATCTTCAATTTACCGATCGAATACGCATTTACTTACTCCAAGACATTTGATGGATGCATCTGACGACGATCAACGATGATTGAGGGCCATGAACTTGTTCAGCTTAGCTTTTATTGAAGATTTCCTCCGCAACTTCTACAATCAACTCACGGAGTCGCTATCTCAGCAGTAGCGTTTATTGCGTTATTACATGGATTCGTCACAGTAGTATCGGACTAAGTAAAGGGACTCTGGCTGTAGCAGTCCAAGTTGTCTCCGTAGCTCACCCCCAGCAAGTCGCAGTACCTCTTGTAGAAGCCGATCCTATCCGCCACCCTGGCATCGGACCCTTTCCCGCACTCCAACCCTCCATTGATGATGTTGGTCGTGACACCGTAGCCCGGAAGCCTTCCGGCCGCCCGGTCGGCGTTGGATGGCGTCCAGCTCCCGGTTATCACGTCGTGGCACGACGGCTTGGGCGACTGAGGAGTCATCCAGAACCACAGAGCCGTCTTGAAGGAGATGGTCGCGTCGGTGGCCACCAGGTCTGGGTTGTTGAGGAGGTCAGAGCCGATGGCTCTCCCGGCCGGCCCGTAGTTGTAGTTGCTGCACGCAGAACACATCGGATTGTTGCGTTAGAAAGGCCATCGTTGTGAACTCGATAGCGGCGATGAACTGTAAGAGTATGGCTTACAATGAGATTTGGATGGGGCCTCGGCCGTAGTACTTCTTGCCTGCAGCGCACGGCCACTGCGAGCTGGCGACGCAGTAGTCCGATGGGGGGTTCTGTTCCTGGACGAAGCAGTAACCCCACGCGTACGGACCATCGGGCGCCGTCGCCCACCCACCTGTCAAACCCAATGCATTCAGCTCTCTATCCATTAACAGTTGACGAGCCATGGGAGCTGTACGAATTACCTGTCGTCTCGTGAGACGTCTGCGCCAAGAAAGCCGCGATCTCCCTCTTCTTCGTGGCGTCGTCGCCGGTCGTCCCGAACCCGC